AAAATCCGTGCAATTATTTAGTGGCACATTATTGACAAATGACATTTTCTCCAGCGATTTCTTCCACCTTGTTTTTGATCAATTAGCTTTTCACAATTTTTCCATGAGAGGCGGTACGTTTCCCTTGCCAAAAGGCATTGTTTTAACTCTCTCAGTCTGACGGTCATGTGAAAATAAAATAAAATCCAAAAAACCGTCCGAAACGTCAATTTTTCAAACAAAAGTGCCCTCACGGGTGCACGTGGCACGTGCCATCCTCCGCACAGCACACCATTCGATTACCCGTTCGATTCTCTACACGATGCTGTTTTTCCCGTGACGATCGGGTGCACGGTTACCGAGATATTGCACGGTAACCGGACCCGTGTCGGGCAAATTTAGCCATTTTCGCCCGTTTTTGCAAGCCGATTTATACATGTAAAGTCTATGACGCGAATTTGCACTTTTCGGGCACGCGCCACGCGCTCGCTATCGACCCGATCGAGCTGAGACCCCTCAAAGGCACGTTGTCCATCCTTGTTCTATGAGTTGCGCAAACTTCAGCGCGGTAGGTGCAACGGTGTGACCTGTAACCCGCGCTACGTAGCACCATGTCGCGACCTCGGTTACAGACAGAAACTACGTCACCACAAATAGTAATATAGATGGTCGCATGAATGAACGAATGAATAGCTCCATTTGAGCATCAGCTGAAATCAATCCTAAAATTTAATCTACCAGTCTGCAACGAAAAGGTTTAAAAACCAGTGCAAGTTAGGTGCAGTTTCTAATCTATGCCGTTTTTTATTAAGTGTCTCATAGTTCCTTAATCTTGAGCCGCTTCTCTCACGATTCATTTTATGTGGTGCTTACATTGTTCAAGAAGTTATATTATTCGAGCTCGTTGGTCTTAAAAACTGCTATCGAAGTAAATTAAAGTGTTTCGGGCTTCGGCACTTAAAAAGCAATCGATATTTAAACCTCACCTATTTAGGCATTTCTTTTCAGCGTCTTACCATGTAGCGGAGGGGCGTAGAAACCCTCAGCCATTCGGCCCTTGATAAAAAGAGCCAGAGCTTCGCTGAAAAATAAAAAAGAGCGTGTTGCTCGTGACGAAAGAAATCCGATGATTTGAGGGTCCTGGTCATCGCTGACGAGAAAAAGCCAATTATTTTTATGTCCTGGTCAATGCTGAGATCCTAGGTCACTGGTTGACCTCCCAGATCAGGTTAATAACCCAAAAGCACGGAAAATTGGGTCCTGCTAGAATTTCTACAAGTGAAGTTTGCTGGGACTTGGCTTGCTTCTGACTCCGAATTTGCACTTGCTTTGATCAAAGATGATGTATCAAAGCATTTGGGGTAGGACGGGTCACGCCAGATCACCCATTAGGCGTTCTGCCGGCTATATAGAATGTTAACCAGCATTTACAGCCTTGCATCATATTGCATAGGCATTATAACTGATACCTAAGTATGCCTAGTTTTCAAATGCTAAAATGGGTGCTAAATTTCAAACCAACACTTCCTAAAAACCACAGTAAAAAGGTGTAAATTTAAGGAAGTTAACCGAGATCATTTCAAGTAAATGACCTTAACCTGAGTTTCACGTGACCTTGGCACCCACAACAATTAATGAGACAAACATTAGATAATATTAGATAATATATTTCACATGTTGTGACGTTGCTAATCACGAAACGACTATGGAAACACACAGAAGATGTGCGCTGACTTTCAATTGCTATTCTGGCCTGACATGATCTTGAGAAAAATAATCACAGGTTAAAGGTTATTTGGTTCAGGGATTTAAAATTCTCAGACAAGACGCAAAAATGATAAGGGCTATTTAATTTTCCGGGAAGTTGTAAAATTGATTAACTCCAGGGCACCAAAGAATCGTCGCAATCCTTCGCTTTGCCGCGATTTATTGGTGTAAAACAGCGGGCGCGGTCTACTTACCTCTACTTATATGTGTGGTGAGGGCTAATATTCATTTTATCTGTGTTGATGAATGTGCAACAATTTCTATATGAACTGAGACCAGTCCATATGAGTATGTTTTTCTCACGGACAATGACAATATAAAAACAATGCGAATAAAACCAAACGTTTCGGACAACAACGTGCCTTCGTCAGTGGAGAAAAATGAGTGTATAGGTTTAACATCGATGAGAACTAAATGCGGCACCGTCTCGGTCTGGCCAGCCGGGTTGCCGATAAAATACACAAATGTTTATCAGCTTCCATGATGTGCTTAAAAAACTGTTGAAAATATATCTTTAAAAAAATAAAGATAACTACTTGATCGATGTTATCGAAAGAAAACATGTATGCCTAATTACTTATTTCTTGCCACTGACGGAGGCACTTTTTTGTGCGAAACGTCTGGTTTTATTCGTATTGTTATTGTATTGTCATTCCCTGTGAGAAAAAAGGATAACTAGATTCAGTTAGTAACCATAACAGCGAAACGGCTTATTGTAACACAATTCACTGTGTATACGAAACCTATAAGTCCCTAAAATAATTATATTTACAACTTTTAAAAAGATACAGCTTATACAGCTTGGGCATACAATTTTTTCTGCATTAATATAATATTAATTTATCTTCACAGAATATGGTAAATTAGTGCTGCTGAAGTTCGCTTTCGAAGCGTCTCCTCCAGGCATTCCACAGCTCTCGTGCCATTTTGGATCACGGAACATGGCTGGGCGCAGGACAGGTCAGGTCGTCTGCGAGCTTGGACGGACCACGTGACCACCTCCTCCACTCCCCCTCACTCCCGTCCCCTTCCCCAGCAGGGCGTCCGATCTAACCGCGCCCCAGGCAGTCGGCTCGGTCCGACCCTCCCCATGGTCGAGCCACGGACCGGTGCCGCCTGAGTTTGTGCCGGGTGCAAAACTGGAGCAGTAACTAGTGCCGGAACTAGTAGTCAGCACGACCATCGTTAGATGGCAGGAGTAAATGGAATAAGCGGTTCCAGGTTTCAGAAGGAATGGGGCAGGAAAAACCGCTGGAAACATTGTTTTGCTGATATAGCCATAAAAAGTTCACTGAATTAGGAGAGCAGCACATCAGTTTAAAGCCCTTCAGATGGTGGTTTTAATAAGCACACAATCATTTCCCAATTCGCCTCCAACGGTGTCACAGGCAAAGAATACGCTGAAATACTAGTGTGTACAGAAGCAACTGCGGGTCCCTGTACAAGTTGTGAGACTTCTACATAGGAGATGCACGTTCTTAAGTTTCATCCCCTGTAAAAGCTCCTATGGGACTGAGGGCGTTGCGAAGTTGCGGCATCTCAGGACCGTCCACTAATGACGTCATAGGTCAGTAACCTGACCTGACCTGAAAATCTGGTTGGTGTCACAAGATCCGGCTTGAATCAAAGGTCAGGTATGCCTAGTTTCAGCTCTCTGTTGCTGGCGTGTTCGGAGCTATCGCGAGAAAAAAAAACTAGGGGGCGAGGATTAAGCTAGGCTGGTTTGGGTAAGTTTGGGTCAAGTAGTTAAAGGCGTCCCACCCGCACCACCTATTTATAGCAGCTGTACCTAAACCACCAGCGACAGCTTCGTAGCAAGTTGCATTGGCACCACAACTATACGTACTTCTCAAATGTCTCAATGAATGCTGGATTCGAAATAAGCTTTAAAAAAAATCCTTAAAATCGTACAATTTGGAACAGTCACCCGAAGTCACCAAACGTCAATGACCTTGACCTGGCCGACAACTGACAAGTCAACTTGAAACCCATCATGATGCATGGGACAACCATCAGTTCATATGTTGGCACGTTTATATGTGATCACAATAGAAGTCTGGAAACGCAATTTAGTGTTCGCTAACATAAACGGCAAATCATTTCGGTCTGCCATGGTCTCAGAAATCAGATCAAAGGTCAAAGGTCATTGGTTTCAGGATCATGTACTGTATAGGGAATGTGTAACCAGTAACGTAGATAAGTTCGAGGACACTCAAAGTTTCGTCACGATCGGCCGCTTTTAGCGCGAGATAATCGCGAAAAAACGAGGGGTTTTATCCGACCCGCACCCCTAAAAGTGTGAGGGATAACCCGCACACGGATAGCGACGGATATCCATCACACCTACCCCAGTACCTAACTCTATTTTCTACATGTAAGCATATGCTGGCGATATAATGCAGCCAAAATTATCACAGTTACGTAAGTACCTTGTCCCGGGCACCACATATACTCCTGAGCTGAATGTTCAAAATGTGTTCTCCTTTTCTCTTAAGCTGAACTAGATTGAACAAGTTTTTCATTGGAAAAGATTGTTGACGGCCCTCCTGTGAAACGAGACTCGATGAATTCTTAAACTCCCTAGTTATTTTGTAACAACCCTAGGTTTGTTGCATACTAACTAGGGAGTTTGCAACGACCCTAGTTTCGTTACAACGTCCCGGAACGAGCAGTTATTTTGTAACGTCCCTAGGGTCGTTGCAAACAAACTGATCGTTCAGGGAGGTTACAACCACCCTAGGGTCGTTGCAAACTAACTGAAATCGCATACTCCCTGTAACAGAAACATTTCTCAACGGGTCGGCCGGGTCGGCAAACAGGGGACACGGCGTCTCCCTCGGACGGCGGCGGTCGACGGACCGGACGGCTGGTAACGAGGCCAACGTGATAACGGCCGTGTCAAGGCCCGCACTCTTTGTTGAGTGCGTTTTTCGCCGCAGGGGACCGACAAACTCCAGACAAAGCTCCACATACACACTACAAACACATTGGCACACACACAAATGGAAATGCAAAGTAACGCTGGCATGAAACAGCAGAACAAAGTCGAGGTCAGGCGAATGTTTCCCAGCACACAGCCTGGACAAGCTCTTAGCTCACACGGTCCCTGTTCGACCTCAGCACCTCGTGGGAGTTGGCTCGGTCACTGCCAGCCCCCCCCCCCCCTCCCCCCCCGGCCGGTCGGCACTGACAGGACTGCGGGGACGTGTCACTCGGGCACGCGTCTGACGTCACGGCTGTGACGGCCGCCTCACCGTGTCGATGACGGAGCAGTGGTGCTCCTTGGCGGCCCTCTCGGCGCGCGCCCGGCCTCCGGGCACCTCGACGGCGAACTGATTGGTGTAGTGGCCGTCATCGGCGGGCTGGCCGCCGGCGGCCGCCGAGCAGGCCGAGAGGAGCGCGCTGAGGGCGGCCAGCGCCCACTGCCGGCCGGCCACCATCGTGTCTGCCACGCACAGAAACACACAGATCTGAGACTGGTGCATATGAGGTTATCGTCACGGCCGCAGGGAGGTCAACACGTTAGCCCAAATTTGGCAATGGGCTGGCACGCAAGGGGCAGCTGCAATATCGATCAACAGTGACAAATAACAGACAGACTTGCTAACCAACTGAGGAAGAATGTCACCTACGCGATGCTGATATGTAAATAACAATCGCTTTGGAGCCCTTTCATTGCTATACCTCATCAATTTGTCTCGCGGCGTTCAACATTATTCCCGTGGGCGGTTTGACGCGGACCCGGAACCTTCAACTCTGCACAGCACAATATCCGTCCTGTGACCAAGCGTGATATTACAGGTTGACGACCCGAATTTATTTACTGCACAACACAGCAGATGGTGTGAGGAGACAGAACTAGGCTATTGTCTCCTTAGAAAGTAGAATATTTCTGAAGCATCTTCCGATTAAGGTGGACGGACGGTACAGGAATTAGTTTGTTTTCATGGACGCCCATAAGCTTGGTCTTATGGTGTACCTATTGTATTTGTGCGATCTTGATAAAAGACGACGGCAGCTGCAGAGATGCAATTATTTGCCTCTGGCTGAGTCCCGTCGTTGAGATCAGGATGCAAACGCAATAAAACTTGAGTTCCCTTGGAAAAAAGGTATATTTGTTCTGTTGTATTTAAATGCTGCGAGGTTGTAGGGGTTCAATAGTGCTGTTATTGTATGACAAAACACGACACAACTAAAAACTTTGTGGAGCTAGACAGCGCAATGAACTTCAGCATGATTTAAAAGAAAAAAAAAACTAGTTTCAACGGAAACAATGCGCTGGACTCTGGAGACAGCCGAGTCATCCCAACAGTGCACGATGACGGCTCTTACAGGTTAATGCGCACTCAAATTCCAGCGATGGTGCAGCCAAACGATCATCATCGGGTCGAAACAGGTAAAAACCGGACCATTTCACAACCCGAGTCGAGTCGGGCCCAGCCGGTAATTGTCGTGCAGAAGTACCGGTCGGGGCTCCGCGGCCGAGCCGCACAACGCGTCTGGCTATCGGCAAAAATCGGCAGCGTAGGAGACGCGACCGCTGACTGAACCGAGCCGGCAGTGACGGCGATTGGCGGCACCGGTGCAGTATTGTGGGGCCGAACTGCAGCGGGAGACGAGAAAAAGCTACCGAGATGGCGTGAAAACCTGCCATAGAGACAGTCAACGGATACTTCTTGGCTGAGCTGACAGTGATGGCTCATTTTACTCAGCTTTGAGGATGATGACGACGACGTTTTTGCGATGCAGAAATTGCGGTGAAATATGGTGAAGCTAGCGATGTTTAGGGAGATCGGAGTGTGACAAATGGTTGCTGGATTCGGTGATTTACCTCAACAAGAAACCTGTCGCCGATAGGGTCAAAAATTGAAAATCGACGTAGTATACCTGTTATAAGAAAACAAACACCAAACGGGAGAGCAGCAGCTCGCTGAGGCCCGCTCGCCGCCGCCACGCGGCTCCGCTGATTGTCAGGGACACCTTCCGGTGGCATCCGAGCGCGGATCCAGAGTTCCGGACCGGCTGACCCGAGCTGAGCCGGGAGCCACAGATTGCGGCCGACGCGCCGCCACCAGTCGTAATCCGACGACGACCCTTGAGCGGCAATATCCGCAACAGTCGGCGAGCCTACCGGCCACCTCGGAACTGGGGCTCAGCACGGTCGCGATCCGGAACCAAAGGCGCCTGGTTTCTGGGGAGGGGTGGGAGGTGGGAACTGTACTGCAGCCGTAGTTGCTGTGCAGCTTCACTGGAGCTTGACTGCGGCTGAAAGCTCCCACGCTCTGTGCCGTTCACAGAAAGGGGAAAATCTCTGGGGCTGAAGCTTCTTAAGTATGGTGGTCGGAGCGGAACAATCGGATTGAAAGCCTGTTATTGCAGACGGCTGCGAGTTGCGAAAGCTGCACAAGTCGGGAGCGGCGTGGAGGAGGGCTTAGACACCGGCACCGCAACTCCAACAACGAGTAATGCATTTATGAAGAGGGATATTGATAGCCCTCGTCGACAACTTCGACCCGCAGGCTGACAGCTTCAACATATCCCCGGCCTGCGTGTTAGCATCCGGTGGCAAAACGATGCAACAGATGCAGATCGCGTCAATCCTCGTCCCAATCCGGGCATACAGATCTATTGACAATTGTTGCGCGCGAACAAATGCCATCGGCTTTCACGCGTCTACATTCCTGTTCAGGATCAACATTTTCCGACACCGTGACGAGGAAGACCATTCCGCTGCGCCGTCTGGTCGCTTTCCTCCAGCCGCCTGTGTGTATGTCTGTCTGCGAGCTACCGGCAACCACCGGAGTGTGCTCTCCTGCCAGTGTGTGCTTCCCTCTCGACCCGGCGCGCGGAGACCGGCGCGGAGGTGAGGCGGGGGAGTGGGCGGGCCGTGCGGCGGCGCCGTATGTCCTCGGGACCAGCGTTGCGCTCCGCTCCCCCGCCCTCGGCCGGCGCCCGGTAACAGAGCACTAACGTCCGGGGGCTTCTGCCTCTGCCGTAACGTTTCCTGACTTGGAGTGGCCACACGGTGCCAGGTGCGGCGCCACGCCCCGGCGACAGCGGTGGGTGCGGCCGGCCGCTGCACCGCCTGCTGTCCAGGGTCCAGTGTCCAGGGGCCAAGGACCCGGTCAGCTGGAGGTGCTGGAGTCGGAAGGCGGCGGCTGGAGGCGCGGTCGGAAGGCGGAGCGAAGGAGCTGGAGGGCGGAGGCGGTGTTCGATCGTGACTGCATTTCCCGTGCAGCCGAGAAAGGAGCGTGGGAATGCGAATTGGGGCGCTGTCCTCGGCTGGAAGCCCGCTGCAGCGAATTAGCTCAGGTAGGGGTACGCGCAAGGGCTCTATCTATTTGCACACAAACGACCTCTTGAAGTCAAGATTTGAATCAGTCTACAACAATATACGGGTTCTTTCTGACGAGAGAGGCTGCAATCCGCACACCAATCAGTTTTCGTATGCCGCAAATGATCTCAACTCAAGGCCAGGGTGACCCGCGCTTATTTGGAGGCTCTAACAAAGAACTTGTTTACTTGAGCCCGGAGTCCGGACTGCAGGATTGTTGCCAGGTGGGCGACAAAAGATGTTACGCAACGCTGCAACTTCACTTGTGGGCTTACAATGCCGTTCAGGGACGTATATATGACGTTTATCACATTATTCTGCATTGCTGCACCTATGTTAGCCATTTCAGATAAGTAGCGCTGCTCCTTTCTGAGGTGCCATGCGGCACAGGAACCGGACGCCAGATCGAAATCGACGCCGGCCGTAAAAAGTCCCCATGTTTGGAGCCCTGGATACCGTGGCAAAGGAGCCGGAGCTGGACCCAGACACGGCATGTCCAGTTAGTCGAACTATAACGTAACAATGCGCGGTAACCACGGCACGGCGGCCGAACGTAAAGGCGATGAAGATGTCGCAATAGAAAAATACGCGGTGTGTAACGAAGCGTAGACTCGACTTCTATCGGCGAAGCAGAGCGGAATCGAGCCAGTTTCAGCCATCGTTAAGTTTCGTGAGGCATAATGGCCTTTGGTATATTGTCTTACGTTAGACATGTTTGTAAATACACCCGCCTTTGCGTCTGCAAGTGGACCCAACCAGCACTAAACATGTTCCCGAAGGTCAAGAGAGAAAAACCAAAACCCAGGCGGTGACAACAGTTTTATTTCATAGTATTCCTATAGCACGGTTAAAAGGCAACGAAACGGTAGCAGCAGCTTCGTTCATAAAACTGAGCGAACAGAACAAATGACAACCAATCGAGACCGAGCGATAGCTTGCTACATGCCGCTCAAAACTCAAATCCACTATCCAAATCCGCATACCTAACTGCCTTTTGGTGAGCATTATAATCCAGCAACACTCAATTTGGTTCGGTAGACATGTAATTACATGCCTTAAATGGAAAGGGGTGGTTCAACCAATGGCCATACAAGGGGCCGATTGTAATCAATGTTTCTGTGAGCTATAATTTCACGCAAAGATATGACGAATTTCATATAGTCAAGTTATGTTGTTCACAATGCTTTCGAAACACATTGTATCCGTCTCGCTGTAGGTGATCATTTCGTTTATACGTGTCCGCCCGCACCAGCGTCTGCGGCCGAATGGCCCGTTCTCGCATGGTCCTATAGTGCGCGCTCGGGCGCCTCGCGCAGTCGTCCCCACCACAAACGTCATGCCCGCTGACCGCGCTCAATTTCGACCGATAAAGGCCTACAAAGGTCCACGACACTCGAGTCGTCACTCTCCGTCACTCTGAAGGTGATCATTTCGCTAAGTTCCTTCGGTGTTTCCTTATGCATATGGCTACACCATTTAGCTACACCCATTAAGGCACTCTTCGGTACCACGGTGACGTCTAGCGGTGACTTTATATGTCTACCGTGTCGCGCCTTCCGCGGCGACTGCTGGTCCTGCTCTCCTCCTCCTCGTGCCGTGTCTGTTCACACGTCAGAGGCGGGGCGGCGGCTCAGCCGTCTCCCCGGCGGCGGCGCAGAGCTGGAAAACCCGAGCGGCTGGTGCGCCGGGAGCGCGACCGACCAACCGTGTCGCGCACTGACGAGCTGCGGCGATCGCGGTGACAGCGGCGGCGTCTGCGGCGCGACGGGAAGGATACACCGCGCCACTGGCTGTCCTTGAACCGGCGCGTCCACTGTTTGCTCGGCCGGCCACCGGCTCAGGAACCACCGGACGGCAAACTGCCACCGCCGGCGTCCGCGCGCCTGTGAGGCGTCACTGCGCCACGGAACGCGCCCCGAACCCGCCGAGGTCACAGACACGCACCGGCGGCGACCCGCGCCCCACCGCCCACGCGTGTCCGATCAGCTGGGGCATGGGCGCCACTCCTGCAGAGCGAGCCCTCGGAGCGCCCGGAGAACTCGAGCTCCCGGGGAGGGCACAAAGTGATCCCACCGGAGCTTTGTGCGAGATCGTACCGACCACTCAAGGCA